CTTGGCGTGAAACGTGGCGTATGCAAGTTTCTGGGCTCAAATTGTGCGTATATCAGTTTTATAAATCCGACCCCTGGGCTGTGAAAGGTTAGCCCTTTGGAAAGACTCTGAGGTTTCCTCCAGACTGTTTGGCACCAGTTTTGTTGTAAATTTAACAAAATATGATACAATATTTTCTTTTTTTCTTTAACATTTTTAATACTCAACCCTACTAGTCCACTCAAACCAATCGACACTGACGCACACATGACCCTTTGTAGGTTTTTTRAGTTAATCCAACTCATGAACTAATTTAGACTGATATTCAAAAATAATAATAAAAAAGACAGACAAGGAAGTCATTTTAAAAGCTGTGGTCATCCAGAGAAGTGAGTCAATAACACCTTGCAATAAATACTGAACAAACAATAAATGAATTTATGAAACCTGTTTAGGTTTGATGAAAAAAACTCACATTTTTTTTCTTTCATTTCTGTTTCATTTACCTGCTCYGATGCAGATTGTGTTCACTTCAGTGCTKCGTCTTTTTCTTATCAGGACAATAAACGGTCCAAATCAAATATTCACAGAGGAACTGGGATGAGATGGAAATGGCTGCAGCTGAAAAGTRACTATCGATCTGCCTCGGATGTTACCACAGATYTTCAGTGCGTTTTTTGCCAAAAGCTCTAAACAACAAGAAATGACTTCACAATGGCCCGTTAATGCGTTTGTGTTCTGGGAATGAGGTTATTAGAGAAACATTTTATGCATGAGTTACTGTCGTCTCTGAACAAGTACTGTAGTCTGCAGAGGTACAACACACTGTAGCTTTCAAATATCTCTGAAGAAACTGTATCAGTCTATAAAGTGAAATCTACTGAACTATATACACTGTAACTCTAAAACTCAGCATGTGCTGGACTCGACAGTGTAAATATAAATAACCGTGATTGTAATTTGTTTTTTGTATTAGTTGATAAGATTCTTGTTAATTAGAGCTGTCCTTATTAGTTATGACTGATCAGAGTCTGTCTAAAGAAAACCAGCATGTTTCCCTGTGAATCCAAGAAAATGTCAGAAAAATATCCAAATTATCCAAATCCAGACTAACACTCTGATAGTTGAGATATCTGAGCTGTAAGAGACACAAACATCTGGTCACRTTTAGAGATCAACTCTGTTTTTAAATGTCTGTTTTTTAGTTCTGAAAATAAAATTCAGAGCTATTTCAAACTGTTTTGCTGTCAAGCTAAGGTTTAAGTTAAATTTGGTCAAAATTACCTCAGCACATTTTCATATTTCTGCTTTTTAAGTTACATTTTCACACTTGGATCATCCTGATATCAGTTCAGAGATGAGACTTGATTTGTCTTTTTAATCAGGAGAACTTGTTGATATTTGGTCTGAACCATATTTTTAGTTTATTCTGATGAGGACTTTTTAAATGTAATTTCAAAGAGAAAACCTAAAAAAATATTTGGATATTAAGCTGGTAAGTAAAAAAAAAATCAACTCTGTCAGCTTGCAGAGAAAATTACAAAAGTTTAATGATTTTCTGCACAAAAATCACGTTTTTGTAGCTGCTTTAAAAGACAGTTTAAAGATTTTTTTTATCAGATTTCAGATATTTAATTTAAAAGACCCATAGATAAGGTATTTATTCATTATCTTTTTACAAAAATTAATTGTTGAAAACTGTTTAACAAATGCACCACGGATGCCTGTTTGTCCACAGACTTTGTGACCCTTGTTTTGATGTGATGGCTCACATATCTGTGTTCCCTGGAGAATACTGTAGCTTTGCATTCTAGGTTTATATTGAAGCAGTTTGATCCAAATGTATTAATTCTAAAATAAAATCCTCTGTCAGCACTGTGGTAAAAAGCAGAAAAGCTTTTATGTTCAGTATTTGCAGGTGTTTCCTGTGTCCAGCAGAGGGCAGCATTGCACCAGGCTGTGAGCTCCTCTAACGTTCACTCAGTCTGTATGATGACATCACAAACCTATTAGTTTCTACTAAAGCCTAATTTGTAATTAATAGTAATTTTGTACACAGGTGGCAAATTAAAGTCCTCACAGATGGTTCAGCTGCTGATTGTGGCTGGAAACTGTTATATTACTCTGCTGATCATCAGAGCTGCTCCAGTGATGACAAACTATGATTGATACTTCTTTACTGCTGTTTACATGATTTATTAAATACTGAGATCAAACAAAGATGTGTTTATTTGTGTCATGATAATGAAGCATGTTGTTACGGTGAACTAAGTTTCTGAATATTGACCCCCAGCTTCCTGTTTCAGACTCACGATCTCAGCAGAATGCCCCATGCAGCTGGAGGATTTCCCCATGGATGCCCACGCTTGTCCCCTTAAGTTTGGAAGCTGTGAGTAAATACACCACTCAGCAAATATTCAGTGTGTAACTGCATAACATGATGCAGGGAAAGGAACGACCTGAGCACTGCTACCACACAATGTAGGAAAAGAATCAATAGAGGAAAAGTCTTGGTAATAAATTAGTGCATTTSAGAAGCTGAAAAGTGATAAAAGWAGATTTTCTGCCTCATTTTTGGCCAAAATGTTTCTGTTTTTAGTAATATTGTAGAGGTGGAAGAAGGTAGTCCTGRCGTTATTTGTAGGAGTTTAAGGTCAATCCTTGCTTAAAAAAATAAAATAAAATAAATGTATATACAGTATGTATGTATCACTTTATGTATCAATATTTACACCATTAGCTTTGGATACAAATGTATTGTCATTGTCTGAACATAAAAACAAAATTAAATGCTATCCAGGATTTTATGTAACTAAATAGGCATGACCAAGGGCAGGTAGGGATAAAAAATAATTTGCCCTACAAAGTAGTTCCCTCTAAAAAAATAACGTAAATTATTTCATTCTTTAGCTTGCTGTGCACTGTTTGTTGTGTGTTTTTAAACTCTTTGGAACATTTTAAATGGAACTGAAACAATTTTTYAGTAATTCATTTTCAGTTTTATTTTACGTTTTTGCAGTTATGAAGCGGTGCAGGTAACCAGCGGTGACATCTACTGACATTAGACCTTGTGTGGTCAGATTTATTACAGGAAAAGCTGCAGCAAAACCCCGCTGTGTCAAACAGAGATTTTTAGTTTAAAAATCAATTTGTGAGACTATATTTAAAAGAAAAATGATCATTTAGGATCTTGGAGCAGATCATGAACAAAACACAGAATTTCTCCAACATCTTATTTTCTGTTTGTCTACCCTGAGGTCACCACAGGTCGATCTTATATTTTATATGTTTCTGAAGGGTTGGGTCTTCAAAACATATGCCAGCACCATTTCTTATTCAAATACTACCTTTAGCTTATTAAACATACCAATAGTGCCTGTTCATGACATCGCTTGGAAAAAAACAGAAACAATACTTTGGTTTTCTTTAGACCATATTTTGACAGTATGTCTGAAGAACCTGTATGYCAAACACTGGCCAAACAAACATTTAGATCTGTTTTAGTCAAAATGTGCCCTGATKTGTAAATTGGTTATTAAAAAAYRCCTTGTTTTCAATCAAGAGTCATTACTAATTTCTTGTTTTTGTGAATTTATTTCAAGTTGGTTTATTTTTTCATGATGAATGTCAAGGGCTGGATTGAGATGGCTCAAGGGCCCTCTTCTGGTCCTCCCATCTTATTTTTCCCAAACRTGCTGTTAGGCATGTTTGTAGTCTAAGTCTGATTGAATTCAWTGGGCTTCATGGARAAATATAACTGRGTATTATTAGCATAACARTAGAAATGTATTCTCTGCTGCCGAATAACTTTATCTGAGGAGGGCTTGAATAAAATCTTGGTCCGAGCATCGAGCCCTGCGGAACTTCAGGTGTGTGAGGAAGATTTATTTTTAACATGAACAAACTGACAGTTATAGCTGTTTGATCCCATTATCATGTTGAAACCTGATTTCAGGTTTCAGGTTTGTTCCTTTTCCAAATCACTAAATGTCAACCGGTGAATATAAAATGATAAACATTTTGTTCAAAATGAAATCTGTTGGGTATTAATAGGGATAAAATATGACAGTAACCAAATTTACCTGTGGGTACAAATAAAGTTGATTGATTGATTGATTGATTGATTGATTGATTGATTGATTGATTGATTGATTGATTGAAGTACAGATTTCCTAACACCCAAAAGTCTTTTGTGATTGTATCAAATGCAGCACCTAAGATCTAACAGGTCAGACGTCACCATAGCCTAATGGTGGGTGGCGTGTCCTCCATTGCTTGCCGGAGTCATTCTTCCATTCAGCTGGTGATATTGTCGATCCAGCTCATGTTTCTTCTCCCTCTCTTGGTCAAGCCTTCACCTTCAGAGCACTGGACTTGCTGGACGTCTCTTCCATTGTCCGTATTTGGCTTTCATTCTTTTGATTGCAGCAGTCCACATATTTATGGGATCTTCAATTGTATTTTCACCCCTTCATTTGTTTTCTGCATCCAGGTAACTTGAAGGATTCTCCTCCATATCCACATCACCAGGAGGTTTATCTTTTTKTCATCCTCTTTCCTAATGGTTCAAGTCTCACATCCTTAAGTAGCAATTCTCCAGATTAGAGATACGGTGGTGCCTTGACTTTCAAGTTTATTTTGTTCTGTAACAGAGCTCGTAACTCAAATTACACTTAAGTCAAAATATTTTTTCCCATATAAATTAACTGAAATGCCATTAATCCGTTCTGTCCCCACTAAAAAAAATTAAAAATAATAAAAAAACCTCCTTCTTTTTTATGTTACACGTTTTTAAATAAGAAAAATGCACTTCTAAACAATGAATACTGTAACAAAAACGTAACAATACAATAGAATGTACTGCAAATAAACTGGTTTAATAAGTATAATATATCTTGGAGATTTGAAGATGCTGACAGAAGTGGGAGAAAAGGCTGAGCTACAAATAGGTATCTGCAATCACACTGATGCTAACACTGATGCAAACCACCAGTGGTGAGCAGYGCTAATTCAAAAGTTAGTTGCGCAAATTCTAAAGCGCTAGATAAATTATTTAGTTCCACAAGTTCTAAAGCGCATGTGTCAAAAGAATCTTAGCGGAAGCTAAAAACTAAAGTGCAACTTTGTCTCAGTTTAGCAGAATTTATGTTTCCAGTGATAACTTGAGCCATTCTTGTACAATACTGCCAACTAGTGGCATGACAAATTGCTTTCAAACAATGACACTATTCATCCCGGTTTGAGAAAGTGATTTACACAGGTTCCATCCACTTTTCTCTGGAAATTATTTTTCCACCCCTCTTGTGATTTTTCCACCAATGGTAGTGAACAAGAGGGTTGATAGCAGGCAGAGATCTAACAGGACAAGTATAAACAAGTCTACCAAACGTTCACACAGTTGATGAGCAAATCATTTTTCAAGACAATTTAAAAGTAAGGTGTAGTCGTCACCTAGTGGTAGGGGTTATATGGGATATATTGTTGGTCTATTATTAGATAAAGGTCCTGGATCATAATCCGGTTTCAAGCACTGTGGTACATTTCCATTAATTAGATTGGTCAGATCCAAAATAGAAATGGTAAAACAAAGCCTGWAGTTTTGACATAATGTCAGTTTCAGGATCACCCTCAATTCAAGGGAATAAAGGTGGATTCAGCTCAGTGTATCTGACAGCCTTTGTCCCTCAGGTGGAACGGAAGATAACCATCCAAACACTGATACTGCTCCTGATTAAACCATTAATCAATGTCAGGCCAGCAGTCCTCCTCCATTTACTGCCACAGCTTTCTTTAGTGAGGACACCCACACACATGWTGGAAGCAGCTTAGGACACATTTCACCAAGGTAACCTTTAAAAAACAGTTAAAGCTCTCCTCCTGACTCCTAAGCTGGTCATTTAGACTCCCACAGATCTGGTGGTGCAGAAATATCTGGGAATCTCCAGCCTCGGAGGCTTAAGGCGATCATTTAAGGTGTTTCCTGCCTCTGACGTGTAGCGGGTGATCCTGGGACCTCGACACTCTCCTGAACTCTGACATTTATTCTCTCCCATGCGGCGCCTACTTCAGTCACCTCCACCCCTAGCTGACACTAGGGACAGGGATAATCAGAGCCACTAAGTGAAACTCCTTTTACACGGAGACGTCTGCATAATGCTGCTGAGAAAACCCCTCATTACGCCGTCTTTGCTCTAAAGAGCTAAAGCTACAGAGGCCTTTTGTTTGGCGCCCTGTATAYTCATTGCAATTACATACAATTTAAATCCAATACTCATCAACTCAGGTCTACTTCACTTGTCTTTGCAAACAGGACRCATCAGCTCATTCCCAGTCTGTCCAAAAGATGTGTGGGTTTCATGGCAGCAGACAGGCTAACAATAAGGAGCGAATGAGGAGTGCTTATTTCCAGTCATTTATTGCATTGTGTTTGCTCAGTCAACATAAAACAGTAAAACTCCTAAATTAGAAAATGTCACAAGTTGGCCTTTTAAATTTACTGATAATTGGATTGGATTCTATTTGGATCAAACTGAACTGTTTTGTAATTGGATTTGAAGTAGACCTGTTTCTGTATCTTAGCCTGAGATGACATTTGTTGTTAATTGGTGCTAAATGAACTGAAGTCAGGGCATACCAACTACATTTTAATCCACCTGTTTTTATGCAGATTTTCAAAACGCATTTATCACAACTCATATAAATACGTGGCTAGTTAAAAATTAAGAAAGTCAGCCCCAAAGTAAAAAAAAAGACATTTTTAAATAAAGAAATTGATTATTTTCTCCCAATTTAATTTCAAATCATAGAAAAGTTTTGTATTGGCATTGGAAACTGGATACTTATTGACCATTATTGAAACAAGTAAATGCCACTGAGATCACAGAACTCATTTTCAAAGCAGGCCTGAAGGCAACTTATTGTACGTTTTTGGTTGGTGGGAGGAAAACAGAATTCCTGGAGAAAACCCATGCAAGTATGTCGAGAACATGCAAATTCCATACAGAAAAACCCCAGGTCCAAACAGGGGATCAAACTCAGGACCTTTCTGTGAGGCGTCAGTGCTAACCACTGAGCCATCGTGTTGCCCAAATATAGATAGATAGATAGATAGATAGATAGATAGATAGATAGATAGATAGATAGATAGATAGATAGATAGATAGATAGAT